CAAAGCAGCAAGCAAGAACATCAAGAAGATTTTGAGAAAGATGATTCAAAGCTCCAGACAATGGCATGAAAAGTTGCCTTTTGCATTACTTGGATATCGCACCACGGTGCGCACATCGGTAGGAGCAACCCCATACCTTTTGGTCTATGGAACTGAGGCTGTAATACCTGCGGAGGTAGAAATCCCTTCTCTCTGGATCATCGTTGAAGCAGACATTGAGGACAGTGAGTGGGTCAAGACTCGAAGAAACGGATAGACGCGGTCTGTCACGGGCAGTTGTACCAACAAAGAATGGCTCGTGCTTACAACAAGAAAGTGCGGCCCAGGAATTTTAAAGTGGGACAACTTGTGTTGAGACGCATTCTTCCTCATCATCAGGAAGCAAAAGGAAAATTTGCTCCTAATTGGAAGGGTCCATACATTATCAGAAAGATATTGCCGAGAGGAGCATTTTATCTGGGTGACATCGAAGGAAATAATCCCGAAGCAGCTGTGAATGCGGAGGCAGTAAAAAGGTACTATGTCTAAGCTTTCTATGGTGTTGAGTTTTGTGCAATTGAGATGACGAAGGCTTTCTTTCCCGCTATCCAAAACACTGTCAATCTTTCACGAACCCTTTGAGCCGGTTACTCTTCCTTGATTACCCTCTTTGTAACCCGAAAGTATTATTAAAAAAAATGAAAAAAGAAAAATGAAAAATGAAAAATGATGAAAAAAAAGAAAAAAAAAGAGGAAAACAAAACAAAACAGAAAAACAACAACAAAAACAACAAAAAACAAAGTTGCCTGAACTACGTCTGACTTGATTCCGAAAGGATACGTAGGCAGCCTCTCTCTGGGGTTCAGTCACACCAAAACAAAAATCCCAATTCCCCCAAAAACTGAAACTGGGGCAGATGATATAATGGCTCGGCAATGAGCCCACCAAAATGGTTCCAAAGTTGTAATTCCATCCAAGATTCTTTTTACCCAAAAACCTCGTTTAAGTCCTTCCGATCAATTGGCCAAGGCGTGGGAATTGAAAACATCATTGTTGGAATCTGATGCAATCAAATTGAGAGAAATAAAATGAGAGAGTCTTATCGGTGAAAACCTACGGGCACCATAAGGCGACGGTGAGTAGAGAAATTAAAAATGAGAGAGTCCGCTTAGTGAAAACTCGTAAAGAGCACTATCGGGCGACGGTGAGAAGAGAAATGAGAGAGGTTGACTGGTGAAAACACGCAAAGGGCGCCGTCGGCCGAACAGAAGACATCTCCCACCACTGAAAGAGTCCTGACAGGGTTCCCTGGTTCTGAAACACGGGTCAATGAGTTTATGAGAAGTTGGGAAAGTTTGTGCGGTTCGGGCATCCAGTCTAAGAAGCATGTCATGTCCATTTGAAGCCTGCATGCACCCCAGATAAGTCCTTCTTTTCTCCTCGAAAGGGATGCTTCTCCTTAAATTCATTTTCTTGCCTTTTGTTTACTTCTTCCTTGAATCCCTTTCGGTCTGACTCTGTTTCCGAAACTAATACAAAGAAGAGGTGGCAAGACTAGTTTTACAGGGCTCTGCCTAACAAAGTTAAAAAAAAGTACCCAACCTCAGCGGGTGCACCAAGCCAATCCCGACTGGCCATGATGGCGGATGCTTTGAAATCAAAGTTATTGAAAGAGAAAAAGAAAGTCAAGGACAAAGGTCTTAAAGGCAGAATAAAGTGAAAAGGGTCGGAACCCCCGCGCGGGCGAGTCGTCATGAAATCCTGAAAGTTGAGCCTTCCGGTTTGAAAGAAAGATCAATCTTCAAAACCAGCAAGCAGCAGAGGTTCTCAACAGAAGTTGGGCCGGGATCAGGCAATTGAGACGATCAAGGCCACAAAAACAACCACCGTTTCAAACTAACAATTTTTCTTTGTTTGAAAATTGAAACAGGTGCAATCCAGGCAGCCGTGCAAAAAGCAGGTGCAGCCAAAAGAAAAGAAACACGCAAGTGCTGAAACAGCTTTGCAGCAAATAATCAATGCAAAAGGAAAGTTTCCTCCAAGTTCTTTCCTGCATCGTATCAAAAAATGAAAAAAAAAAGAGAAAAAGAGATAACAAAAGAAGAAAATCCCAAAAAAGAATAGTTTAGAATTTCCAATATCAACCTGTTACTTGGTTTTGCCAACATTAGGGCTCCAATCCCTGAGTTGAGCTTTTTACCTTTTAGCCAACTTAGGGCTCCAATCCCTGAGTTGCGCCTTTTAGACATAGGGCCTCCATTCCCTAGTCGCATTTTGCCAACATTAGGGCTCCAATCCTTGAGTTGAGCTTTTTACCTTTTGCCAACATTAGGGCTCCGATCCTTGAGTTGAGCTTTTTACCTTTTAGCCAACATTAGGGCTCCAATCCCTGAGTTGCGCCTTTTAGACATAGGGCCTCCATTCCCTAGTCGCCTTGTGCCAACGTTAGGGCTCCAATCCCTGAGTTGAGCTTTTTACCTTTTAGCCAATATTAGGGCTCCAATCCCTGAGTTGCGCCTTTTAGATATAGGGCCTCCATTCCCTAGTCACCTTTTACCGACATTAGGGCTCCAATCCCTGACTTGAGCTTTTTACCCTTTAGCCAACATTAGGGCTCCAATCCCTGAGTTGCACATTTTACCCTTTAGCTAACATTAGGGCTCATATCCCTGAGTTGCGCCTTTTAGACATAGGGCCTCCATTCCCTAGTCGCCTTTTGCCGACATTAGGGCTCCAATCCCTGAGTTGAGCTTTTTACCCTTTAGCCAACATTAGGGCTCCAATCCCTGAGTTGCGCCTTTTACCCTTTAGGGCTCCATTCCCTAGTCGCCTTTGCCGACATTAAGGGCTCCAATCCCTGAGTTGAGTTTTTTACCTTTTAGCCAACATATGAGGGCTCCCATCCCTAAGTTGAGCCTTTTAGACATAGGGCCTCCATTCCCTAGTCGCCTTTTGCCAACATTAGGGCTCCAATCCCTGAGTTGAGCTTTTTACCTTTTAGCCAACATTAGGGCTCCAATCCCTGAGTTGCGCCTTTTAGACATAGGGCCTCCATTCCCTAGTCGCCTTTTGCCAACATTAGGGCTCCAATCCCTGAGTTGAGCTTTTTACCTTTTAGCCAACATTAGGGCTCCAATCCCTGAGTTGCGCCTTTTAGACATAGGGCCTCCATTCCCTAGTCGCCTTTTGCCAACATTAGGGCTCCAATCCCTGAGTTGAGCTTTTTACCTTTTAGCCAACATTAGGGCTCCATTCCCTAGTCGCCTTTTCCCAACATTAGGGCTCCAATGCCTGAGTTGAGCTTTTAGACATAAGGCCTCCATTTCCTAGTCGCCTTTTTACCAACATTAGGACTCCAATCCCTGAGTTGAGTTTTGAGACATAGGGCCTCCATTCCCTAGTCGCCTTTTTTTCCAACATTAGGGCTCCAATCCCTGAGTTACGCCTTTTTAGACATAGGGCCTCCATTCCCTAGTCGCCTTTTGCCAACATTAGGGCTCCAATCCCTGAGTTGAGCTTTTTACCTTTTAGCCAACATTAGGGCTTCAATCCCTGAGTTGTGCCTTTTTAGATATAGGGCTCCACTCCCTAATTTTTGCCATCCTAGACAAACACAATTCTTGTTTTATTCAAAAAAAAAAAGCAAAAAGAGAGAATAAATTCAGACTTTTGTCACAAATAATTCACGAAACTTTCCTAGTGAAAACTGGGGCAGAAAAATTTCGTTCGTTTGTTTGTTTTGGTATCTAAGCAGGCTTGACCTCGAGGCACAGGATCCAAGGTAGTTGAAAGAATGAGTCTCAATCCAATATAAAGAAAAGAAGAGAAAAGAACAAAGAAGAAGTGAATTCAAAATGCTGAAGCGGACAAAGATGCGGATTTGCTCAAAATTTGATTGAAGTCACAAGCTCCTCCTGTCCCGCTTTGATTCAAGTGATGAAGAAAGAACCAGCACCTACAGCTTGCAAGCATCAAGATTCAGATCGGAGTTTACAGCAAAATCAGCTAAGACTCAAGATCAAGCTTCAAGAGTTTTATAGATAGGAATCTTGTAACTCATAGTTGATAGGCATAGCTAGCTTGGCTTTGATTTTCCTTTTGGTGTAATAAGGAGGTCAGCAAGCAGTAGCAGCAGCAACAGCAATAGCAGTGAAATCACAGCTCCCGGTAGTCCCAGCTACCAAAACTTCCAGAACTACATTGACCTGATTCCTTTATCGCCAAGGATATGTAGGCAACCTCTGAAGCAAGGTTCGGTCAGACGTTTTTCAAAAATTCTTCTCACGGAGTGCCAAGCAGGCAAAAATCCCTCATAATTGCTCATTTATCTTTGCCCGAAAACCCTTCGTGTCTCCGAGCAAAGACGGGCAGCTGTGAGCACGTGATTTTTTGCCCCGCTGAATTACTCCTATAGAATTCTTAAGATTAGGATTTTCCTTTTTATTATTTGATTTTTAGGATTTAATTGCGTAATTTTGTGTGTATTTTTATTTGTGTGTGCACGTTTAGTTTTAAATAATTCATAAAAATACAAAAGATATTGCATGGGCATTTAGGATTTAATTTTACATATTTAGATTAATTAGTAATTAGGGTTGTACAAAAATCACAAAAATTTTGATTTGTTTTGTTTGGTTTAAATTTTGGTTTCCTTTAAATTGGTATATTAGTAGTAGTTTTAATTATAGCTTAATTAGGCAGGTTAAGAAATAAAGGAAAAAGGATTAAAAGAAAAGGAATTGAAGGAAAAGAAATTTGGCTTGTTGGGTATGCATTTGTTGAGCAGATTTTAAATGCAATTCATTGACCCAAAAATTTAAACCCCTGAAACCCGTCCAAATCGCCCCAAACCCGGCCCAGATCCGATCCATCACCCCTGTTCCCCCCAAAACGACGTCGTTTGGTTTATGTGCAATCCTACCCGTCTAGGTATTTTGATCCAACGGATGAGAAGTGGGAACATTTTGATATACATATGTCCAAACATGCCCCTACCCCCCCTCCCCCTTCTCACCGTCTCTCAGACCCCAAACACCCAAACCCTAATTCCGCCGCCTACCACCGCAAACCGCCGGCCGAAAATCGCCTCCGCCGGCGGCGATTGGTCAATCACTTCCAAATTTACACAAAAGAATCCTCTCACCCTAATTCCTTTTGTATCCGCTTGTTCTGTTAATTCAATAGCCTTTTTCATTGCTTTTCGAAAGGAAACTCTATTCTTTAATTGTCCAGCTATAAATTCTGCAAGAATATTAGGGTTTCCATAAGGTTTTGCAATTCTTGTGACAGCAATGTTCAGCTTTCGGTTTACACAATTAAATTCTTTTTGTAAGGTCGTTTGTAATTCTTCGATTCCGCGCGGTCGACTTTCTATTAATAATTTTGGGAATCCCATAAAGATTATGACCTGGATCAGATCGATTCTTTTTTGAATCTCTATACGTGCAATTCCCTCGACGCCAGAGGACGTTCTCATATTCTTTTGTACATAATTCTTGATACAATCTCTTATTTTTTGATCTTCTTGTAAACCTTCAGAATAATTTTTTGGTTGTGAAAACCAAAGGGAATGATGACCTTGGGTTGTACCCAGTCTGAAACCAAGTGGATTTATTTTTGTCCCATAATCCCCCACTATTATACATATCACGATACGGCATAGCTGTAGATTTTTTTTTCCATCTCATTTTTTTTAACGAATTACATCTCTACATATTCATCATCTAAAGATATATCTTTCATTACAANTGTTGGGCCAATTTTAAATGCAATTCATTGACCCAACAATTTAAACCCCGAAACCCGTCCAAATCGCCCCAAACCCGGTCCAGATCCGGTCCAGCACCCCAGTTCCCCCCAAAACGGCGTCGTTTGGTTTATGTGCAATCCTAGCCGTATAGGTATTTTGATCCAACGGACGAGAAGTGGGAACATTTTAATATACATATGTCCAAACACGCCCCTACCCCCTCCCCCTTCTCGCCGTCTCTCAGACCCCAAACACCCAAACCCTAATTCCGCCGCCTACCACTGCAAACCGCCGGCTGGAAATTACCTCCGCCGACGGCAAATGGTCAATCACTCCCAAATTTACACAAAAGACTCCTCTCACCCTCCTCATACCCATGACACTATTAATCTCCTTCAAATCTCACTAGAGTTCCCCCAAACATCCCAAACCCTAGCGCCGCCATGGACTCCTCCGCCGTGTCCGGCGGCGCCACCACTCCAAACACCCCCAAAATAACACCCTTGAACCCCCATCCTCCCCTCATTACAAATCCACACTCCTTTCCCTTCAAATATTCCCCAAAATTCTCGAATTTCAAATCAAAAGAAGCAGAACCCTAGAACTTGGTTTGGCAAGGCTTCTCCTCCAGTCTTCGTGAGTTTTAGGTTCAATTTCACCATGGGATAATGTTACTTGACTGTTCTTGACAAAGAACAGTTGATTGACATTATCTCGCGATTGAAATTGGAAGGCAGTCGTGCTCAAGTTTAATGGGTAAGTTTTCTTAGTTTTACTCTTCGTTTACTTCACCTTGTACGTGATTTTTAATTTGTGCATTGATCAGTGTTCTTAGGTTTTTTTTAGTTTTTTATTTCCTTTTCTTCTCTATTCGTACTGATTCTGTGTTAATTTTGTTTGTTTCTTAGTTTTTGGTTTGACTGATAATAGATAGTAGTAGTTTTCAATCCCGAGTTCAGTAGTTAATTCAAGCTTAAGTTAGGGTTATTTGGATTTGTATTCAAATTTTGGGGTTTTGTTTTAATTGAATGTCATTTGGTGATTGCTGAGTAATTCTAAGCCCCTGTAGTTAACTCTGGTCATCTTTGACCAAGTTAAAAGGGTTGGGTTTAGGTTAACCTAGTTAGTAATTTCAGGGGAAAATCAAGGGTAATTGGGGTATTTCAAATAGGGAATCCTGCAGTAACTGAAAGTAGAACCCCCTAGAACCTTCTAGATGGGGGTTCTAATTTGAAATTCAGAAACTTAGTAATATAACTTGGGTAACAAGTTAGTCCTTCAAGGACTTCTAAGCTAAAAAGCTAAAAATAAAGAAGGGGCTAGGGTGTAAAGTAAAAGTCTGAAAATTGCCCTAATTTTGCCTATAAAAGGCAGTACCCCTGCCTTGCAAAACAAGTTTTAAGTCCAGAGATCTGAAATTTGAAATTCAAAGTTTAGAAGCTAGAAATTTTGAGAGAGAATACTAAAAATCAACAAAGTCTTCTGCAGAATTTGAGAGTTCAAGTATATAGAGTTTAGAACTTAGAATTCAAAACAAAAATCCTGAAAAAATCAACAAAAAATGGCCTAGAAATCCACCAGATCTACTATTTCATCAAGCTGCAGCAGTTTAAATTCACTTCCAAGTGCTGAAACTAGGTGGAATTCACCTGCAAAGAGTCAATTTGAATCATCAAAGTTTGGTCTTAGGTTCAGCTGGGTCCGTTGCTCAATTGAACCTTATTTTTGGTGTTTGCTGCATCTTAACTCCTGAATTTTGCATTGGACTTGCTGGGATTTTGCTGAAACTGCATCTGTTACTTTGTTGCTGCCTGGCTGACCTTCAATCTTCTTATTTTTGGTTCTAAATTCCAGGTATTGCCTTGGCCTCTAAATGATGTTGAAGTATGAATCAGAATGTATGTGATCAGCATTGAAGAGATTATGAATTGTTACACATTTCCTTGTTAATCACACTCATGTTGTTTGATTCATGTTGAATTCGTGTAGTTTAATTTGATGTATCCTTAGTCTACTTATAAACATGCCTCTTCAAGTGTTGAACTTAAGCTTCATTAGAGTGTTGAGAGTTACATGATTTAGATTTTTGATAATTGTAACAATTGGACTATGGACTTCTAAATATAGTCAAGGTTCATTATCATGTTTAGCTGTAGGTTAAATACTTTTGAACTGAAAAGTGATTGCGAGAACACTGTGAATTTGCATTACTTTTTTTAGTTCTGATTCAAGGTTTTGGTACTTAATTCCCATAGTTCAATTTTGAAACTAATTGATTATAATTTTAAGATCTGCAAAAGTAAAACACCACCGGTCATATATTCTCTCAGTTTAAACATGTTAATCACTGTTATTGATCTAATATTTGCATATGAAAACAAAGGTTTCCCTTACATTGGCACAAATTAATTTGCCTTACTATTTGGGTTATTTGGACTTTAAAGACTGGGCCTAGCGTAGGCCTAGTTGCATAATGAATTAGTTCTGCTAAGCTCAGACCCGTAGAGATTTGGTCTTGAGACTCAACTCCAACTGTGCGTCCGGATTGGGCTCATTTTGTGGCCCAAATTTTGGACCATTCCACGAGTGGGACTGGTAACGCACCCCTGTCCCTGGGCCAGGTCTTTCACCTATTTCTTTTCATTTTTGGACTGGGCTGGTTTCACACCCAACATAGGGAAGTCCTGAATCATTTTGGACCTACTAGTTTTAGAAAAATAAGGTTTAGGCATTGGGCCTATCAAGTTAAGTAGCAAACCTTAATAGATAATAGTAGCTCACCCTCAGGATATCCTTTATAAATGAAATTGAGGTGCGCCGCGCCAAATAAAACCATAAATTGCGTGGCCCTCTTTAATTACCTCCATAAAAGATACTTAGAAATCGGGACGTGCCATTTAGCGAATTCTCATGGCCTCCCGCAAAGATATCAACACGCTAGTTGCTTTAGGCTCGTCTTTTAATAATATTACCTTCTTAAACTCGGGTGCGCATTTCATGTGACCCAAATCCAAATCCTAAAACGTTGAATAAAATGTGTTTCGGATCCGGGTGCATTTCATGTGACGTGATCCAAAAATACATTTTAAACAACGTTCAATCTTCCTTAAAAATTAATTAAAAGCGGTAAATAACTTTAAATTGCACTATAGGATGAACATGTTTTAAAATCAGATATTAGGCCAATTATGATAGTTTAAGCGACCGTGCTAGAACCACGGATCCGGGGGTGCCTAACACCTTCCCCCGGGTCAACAGAATTCCTTAGTCAGAATCTCTAGTTCGCAGACTTCACTTGGAAAGTCGAAAAATTCTTCGATTTGGGATTCAAAATAAACCGGTGACTTGGGATACCAAAAGCCAAACCTATCCCAAGTGGCGACTCTGATCATTAAATAATCCCATTTCGAATAATGTCACTTTAATTGAAAAAACTCCCTTATGCACTATCCTTTAGGGGTAGGTGTGTAAAATGGAGGTGTGACACCAGCAGGGCCAACCCAGGTTCCAGAGGGGTTCATCGCCCCCCGGTACTCCAGGATACTCTGGTCCGTCTAGTGGGCCTTATAGAGAGTGTCACTCAGGCAGGCATATTCCCTGTAGCACCAGCTGTCTCTCAGGCTGGATGAGGAGCATAGACTCCTGCTACTCGTTCTCTGGAGCAGATGGCTCCCCATTTTCAGACTCCAGCAGCTCAGCCAGTTGGGGTAGTTCCACCGGGTGTTATAGCACAGGCCGGTGATGGGTCAGCTATGTCTTCTTATGCCTTGTCGAGGCTGGACAGGTTCACCAAGCTTTTTACTACTACATATGGCGGTACATCTTCAGAGGATCCCCATGATTATTTGGTCAGTTGTCACGAGGTTCTGCGGAACTTGGGGGTAGTGGAGACCAATGGGGTCGACTCTGCAGCTTTTCGCCTATCAGGTTCCGCCAAGAAGTGGTGGAGGGATTTTTGTTTGGCTAGATCAGTCGGGTTGCCTGCTTTGACGTGGGATCAGTTCTCTCAGCTATTTCTAGAGAAGTTTCTCGCTATCACCCGGAGAGAGGATTATCGGAGGCAGTTTGAGCGCCTCCAGTAGGGTTCCATGACTGTCACCCAGTATGAGGCTAGGTTTGTTGATTTGGCTCGTCATGCTCTTCTTATACTCCCCACCGAGAGAGAGAGAAAGAGTGAGGAGGTTCATTGAGGGACTCGCTCAGCCTATTCGATTGCAGGTGGCTAAGGAGATAGGGAGCGAGATTTCTTTTCAGGATACGGCCAATGTGGCCAGGCGGGTTGAGATGGTTCTAGCTCAGGGGAGCGGTCAGGGGTCTGACAAGAGGCCTTTTCATTCTGGTAGGTTCACTGGTGCTTAGTCTGGAGGCAGGGATTCTTTTGGTAGGGGCCATCCTCCCAGGCCGTTTCATTCAGCACTACGGGCTTCTCACGGTGCTCCAGGTGGCCGTGGTTCTCACATACAGTATTCAGATCAGCTACCCTACAGTGTATCACCATCCTATCAGTGCACCTTCGCTCCAGAGCTTTCAGGGTGGTTACTCAAGTCGTTAGGGACAGTTTCAGGGTCAGCAGTCCCAGCAGCCGAGGACTTGTTATACTTGTGGCGATCCGAGGCACATTGCTAGAATTTGCCCTCGAGCGTCGAGCAGTTCTCAGCATCAGGGTTCTCGTGTCATGGTTCAGGCACCGGGTGTTCCACCGCCGCTCAGCCAGCTAGAGGCAGGGATCAAACAGCTAGAGGTAGAGGTAGAGGTGTTAGAGGTGGAGGTCAAGCCGCTAGAGGTGGAGGCCAGCCAGCAGGAGACCGTCCCAGGGATGTGGTTCAGAGTGGTGGGCCCAGCCCCGATGTTATGCTTTCCCAGCCAGACCTGAGGCTGAGGCATCCGATGCCGTTATCATAGGTACGATTTCCGTTTGCAGTAGAGATGCTTC